TGTCTTGTGCGGCATTTTTCATAAAAGGCAAAGATTAGGTGAAACGTTCTCGGTAGTCTTGCGTGACATTGGTATGGGGAGTCTTTAAGAATTAATGAATATTCCCTCTTAGCTTATGCCGGAGGCTTTATATGCTTTGCTGCCATCTTTCCCCACCTTGCTTTTCTGCTACTACTGCGATTACACTGCCCCAGTTAACACTCCTGGGTTCTGCTGCAGCACAAGGGGAAAGACAAAGGATTAGAAAGTGATGGCTACCTGCTCATCTTTATTGATCCAAGTTCACAAACATTCACTAGTTCTCAGTAATGTGTGTTGCTACATGGTTACTGCTGTTGCCTCGCTGTCCTAGAGCAGAGTGGCATACATTTGTGGTAGAAGTGCTGTCCTCCTCACAGGTACTGTGGCTATTACCACTGTAAATCTCGCTGCTGGAGCCCTAAAACAGTGATGAGAAACTGTAGGAAAACTCAGGAGAGACATCCACATCCTGTAACAGCATTAAGAGCGACAGAACCGTCTTTAGCGTAAATGGGAGAGTTCTGTGCGAAGGCATTCCCCGGCACAGGAAGGGAGAAGGTGCTGTGAGTGATGGCATGGGTGTCAGTGGTACGCTGAAAGCACAGCCTGATTCCTAGGGACCTGCGTTGCTTCTTGGGGCTCTCCTTTGATTCTGGTGCTGTCAAAAGTGCGGCTTTCTCAAATATTCCAGTGAATTCGGGACCTTTTAAATTCAGCACTGTCTGAAATTTATGTGACCTTTCATGATATTGTTAATACTGAAAAGTGTATTGTAAGTTATAGAAACAAGTTTTATACCTCCAGTTCAGGCTTCTCCAGAACTTGACAGTGCAATGTTATGGATTACCGCAGCGGACCCTGTCCTGCTCTCAGTGACTTTGTTACTACCGGAGTGGCATACTGTGCTTTTGATATGCAAAATAAGTGACGTGGGGTAATTTACTTTTCTTTATACTTAAGTCTGTAGCCATAAGACTTACCTATAAAACACTTCTTTTTTTTTTCTCTAAGTAGTGAGTTTTATTATGATAACATAAAAAAGTATTTTCTCTGTTGAAATTAAAGGATGTTTCATAAGTCTTTGAGTCTTCACCCCTAGGACTGGAAAGATGGGTATTTGAGTTACCACTGGAGCACTTTCTAGCAAGTATGGCTTGTCTGGCCAGGCATTTCATCATGAAAGCATGGTGCAAGATCTCTGGGCCTGCCCAGTCTGTTTCCCTCCCAGTTTACAAGCATTAACAACGTATGGCTCTTGAGCACTTACGAGCAGATACCAAGGGGGTACGAACCAGGCTTGTGTTAACGGGGGGAGGGCTGTGCATCCCCCATCCCCTGCTGTGGGTGCAAGTGGGTCAGCTGGGATGCTGCTCTGCCCTCCTGTGAGCTGCTTCCCATAACCCCTTCCTCTTTCCCCCAGCCCTACTGCCCGGCTTTGCATTGCGTTTGGCATGCATTGGTCAGGCACTGGAACAGGCTGCCCAGGGAGGTGGTGGAGTCCCCATCCCTGGAGGTGTTTAAAAAACGTGTAGATGTGGCACTTCAGGATATGGTTTAGCAGGCATGGTGGTCTTGGGTGGATGGTTGGACTGGATGATCTTAGAGGTCTTTTCCAACCTATGATTCTGTGATTCTATGCACCTGGTGGGTCTTGCCCTCGTGTAGGTTTCGGTGTGGGGTGTGTAGGGACAGGAAGATTGGCCACAGCAGGACCTGTTGGGTTTGGTGTGCGGCGCTGCAGGAAAGACCAGGGGGAAGCCATGGGAAGACAGCAGTGAGGAACTCGCCTCAAAAGAAGGATTACGTGAGCTGGGAGAATTAGCATAAAATCAGGAAGACTGAGTTTGAGACTTCTTATTTTCCGTGGGAAGACATTGTGAAGAGTAACAAACGACCCATTCATAAATTTCAGCAAGGAAACCTCAGGTTAGACATTAGGAAAACTTCCAGCGTTAAAGGTAGCTAAGTACTAATGTAAATAGTTGAGGGGAGCGTGAAATTCTTGGACATCACTGGAGAGCTTTAAGAATATGTCTGTTAGGAATGACATCGATATAGTTGATTCTGACTCTGGAAAAGTTGGTCTTCCTCTGGTCCTTGAGATGTTTCTGTATCAGTTCAGGAGCATTTGGAGCGAGAACAATTGAAAACTGATTAATTTTTAGCACTAAAACTTTGAGATCTATTTGAAATGTTTCTTAGCAAGACTGACATCAAGTCTTGTGAGACTGCTTAGTGAAGAGGCAAAATAAGAACACATGACAACTCAGGAGAAAGGATGTACAGAATATGGGAAGTTATCAGCAGAATTTGTTGGATCTGGGTGTGAACAGACTGTTCACGGGAATGGCAAGAATATGAGTTCTCCGTTGCTTGTGAACACAAAATTGCAAGGGTCATGGTGCTGCTGCAGTAGCGGAGCATTAATCGTTGCTCAAAGTTACTGAGTAGCTTTGTGAACCTGTGCCATTGAGGAGATGCACCACCATCTCCTGAGATGATGGTGAGGACGGGCAACTCCTAAGGAGATGCTGCGAGGACAGGCAGACCGTGCAGCAGAGCCAATCCAACAGCCTGTGGCCATCACAAGTAGCCCAGTTCCCTCCTCCCAGCTGCGTTCTTGCATCTCTTGTGCTTGTCTGGCTCTTCCTTGCTTGTTCAACTGACTGAAAAACAGTCTGGCAAAAAAAGGGAAAGTTTTCCTGCCAATTTAATGAGCTAAATTGGCTCACTGACTTGGCCTAAATGAGAGGGAAGGATGATGTGTGGGAGAGATCTACGCTCTCTCTTTCAGTGGCAGAGGCAGCAAGCGGTTAAGCTGTGTTATTTGTCTGCAAGCTATGATCCAGCTTTTGTAACTTTGACAGCACGGAAGTGATCCACTGAAATATTTTAATTTCTTAAATATGTAATGTTCTTGAAGTGCAAGTTTTAAGTCTGTACCGGAACTCTTGACAGTGCTTGTGGATACTACGTCAATAGAATTGACAGCTCTTTTGAAGAAAATTAATAATCACTTACGTATGTCAATTTGTGCATATACAAATCTTGCCCTGTGCTCTTCATTTTCAAAGCATTTGATTAAAAAAGTAAAAAGTAGGGGGGGATTTTCCTTTTTTTCAGCAGTCACAGTCTATCAGTCATTTCCCTTTTCATGTAATTTCACTGAGTCACTTTGGAGATGTTGAAAAAAGATTGCAAAATACTTTCTGTGTAGAAGAACTCAGATTTCATTTGAGCCTTAAAAAACAATGGACTGTTAAGACACTCTGGAAAAAAACATCTTTTGAGCCCTCTGAATTCCCAGAAAACAGAAAAGCGTAAGAAGTAGTGACACAAGGTTTTGGCAATCTGTTAAGCAGTTTGAGGGTGTAAAAGACGTACAGCTCTGAATGCTAGAGCTAAAAGAGCTAAAAGTTCAGCAGAGAAGAAAATAAGTGGTTTGAGGAAATTATAGGATGACAGAATAGATTACATCCTATGATCATATTATCAGTCTGGTTTATATTTTCAGTTATAGACTTCCAGTTCTCTAAGTAAATTAGTAGTTTTCATTTCCTTTGAATAGCTAGGATTTAAGTTTTGAAGAAAAGTCGGTATCAACACCTGTTTGCTAGAAGGGGCATTGAGAAGGAGATTTCTCTGTAGTCTCAGTGGCCAGAGAGTTTTCCTACCGATTTGACGAATGCGTCAGAAGCATCAATAACAAATCATTTCCAACCAAAAGGCCATCTTTGTTAGTTTTTAAGTCGTGCTTCTCATGATGCCAGATTTCTGCTGAATCAGATTTGGATCTTGGTTTTTATTTTTGTCAGCCCTGGTTGCCTGCGTATACTGATTAACACCCATTGTTTTAAGGATTTTTTTTACATTATAGTCACACATCAGAAGCTCTCTGTTCATGAATTGGGACTATATTATGTGAGGCAGCTTATCTTTCAAGTACTTTCTTGCTGAAAATTTAGTACTTTATAAAAATCCCAATCAAAAAGCCTTTTAATGTATTTAAATATTTATTTTAAATCCTGAGGAAGTTCAACTTTTTAATGAGATGTGAGTCACTTTTTAGCTGTTGTGAAGTCTTCACTCAAACACAGAGCTAAAGAAGATGCTGAAGGTATGGAGAAGTTTTCCAGAGGAAAATGAAACTGATTAGAATCATTAAAGGCTCCCAGAAGTCAAACAGGGAGCGTAACCTTATTTTCGAAGAAGTGACTCAGGAAAGCAGTGTGGCAATCATTACTTTTGGCTGTGTCCAAGAAAATTTTGGCTTTTGTATGCAGGTTTTGTTGGGGGCAGGCCTGGGAGATTCAAGGTCCCATCGACAGAAATCCCCTGAAACTACAAGGGTGAAATGAGTAAGTCCCCAGCAATTAGGGTTTGAAAGAAGGAAGCAAAGCCCATTCGCTGTGAGTTTGGAGGTGTCCCTTGTGGCATAATTTTAGGATGATAACCAAAGAAAAGAAACAGGATTATTACTCACACTGACAAAACTGAGTGTTCTTTAGTACAGGCTAACAAGTATTAAATTACACTTCACTGTGAAGACCAAGTGGAGCGCTTAAAAAACATTTACAGAGAATCTGATTTTTACCTTGTATTGTCTATTATTTTTCAGCTAATATGAGAGACTTCTTTTCTGTGATATCCATGCAAAACAAGTTTTCATGAGAATTTCTCTTGAGTATTATTTTATCTTTATTTAAAAAAACACATTTATACATAAGGGGATGTAGCTGTCATTCTTTTTCATCAATCTTTTTAATAAAGAGGGGAAAAAAATCCTCAACCCTTACATGAAACAAGTAAGCATATTCCTCTTTCTTCTGTCTGCTGGATAGAAAGCCTGGGAATGTGCTCCAGGGATTGTATGTTGTCATTCTGTCAGGACAGCGTCTGAAAGCTGCCTGGGGCCTGCAGTGTCTTATGTGTTTCCTCAGAAACTTACGTCTCTTCTCACTGTTGTTTTCCAGGAAACGATCAAAGTCAATGTTATGATGTTGAAAACCAATGGAGAATTTCACAAAGGGCAGGTTTGTCCAGTTTTTCTGTTTATTCAATGAATTAACTTGCAGTGAAACAAAGTCTGCATGTGGATGCAAATATATTGTTTTGTCTGACATCAGCCAGTACAAAGTGTGTTCCTCTGAGAACAGAAGTGTAGCATAGGGCCAGGAACCACGCGCTCATTCTGTCTGTCTTTCTTTTAGGTTGTTTTTAATATCACCTATGTTAAAGGACAGGTATATCTAAATGATTTTCCTATGAAAAGCGGCGTTGCCCACATAACATGTCAAACAGTAAAATGTAAATACTCTTTTTTTTTTTCCCCCCCTCCTCCCCCCTCCCCCACGGGTATTTGGCTTCCCTGTTATCTAGCAAACAAAGCTTACAATGACTACATGTTCTCATATTCCACATAACTGAGCATTACAGAAGCAAATAATTTCCCAAGGTAGGATAATTTTGCTACTAAAATGGGTGGGGGAAAAAAAAAATCTTACTGCCTTGTTCTCAAGTCACGTTCACATGCTTATATGTAAATGATCTAATCTGAAATCCAGACTCTGCCTGTCTTTTCAAAACAATGTTTTGCACTACAAGCTGCGCAATATAAACAGAAGGATGCAGCTCCACCCTGCTAACGGCTGTGTCTCTAGGTTGCCTGGCATATATCCAAAAAGAGATTCAATAACAAAAGTATGAATTGTTGTAAGGAAGACATTTTAATTGTCTCATTTCTGTGTCTATTAGACAAGTTTCTGCTGGATAGGATATTATAACACAAATAATAACTGCAGTTTTGCTAGTGTCCTGCAGTGGTTAATGACTTCATATTATCTTGAAACTGCTGTTTTTTCCACCGATTCAATGCTGTACCTTTTGTGAAAGACCAGAAAGTGCTGTGATTTTATTGAGATAAACAAAGCATACTGTATAATTAATTAAACAGGAGCCATTATGCCCATTTGATTTAAGCTTCTGTTGTATTCAGAATGATCTCTTGACGTATCAGCTGCAGTCAGTCTCTAGCTTGGTTCTGAGGCCATCCCCTCCTTACAATCAGACAGTACTAATGCTTTTTCTAAATTGCTTCTCTGAGCCATGATCTTGTTTCTTGAACCCTTCCTTCCTAAGCATGATCAATTATTAATTTGACACTATTTCTTTTCTGGAGAGGGTGAGCGGTAATTAATTTCTCTCTTTTTGGGACAGTTTTATTCCTGTTGCTTCTATTTTTTCTATCCTAGGGTAGAAAAATATGGCAAATTGTCATTTACTTGCAATATAATTGATTCCAGAAAAATAGATATGACTTTATTGACTAATTCTGAAAGATACTGAGCACTCTAGTTCCTAATAATTTCCCAAATTATAGTTGTATAGCTTGCAGTGACTACAATCATGAATATGAATCTGAAACAGTGAGAAAAATACTGATTTGACCTGGGAGCTAGGAACCTGGAACTCTCTATCTCCATGTTTGGGTCTGAGTCCTCAGCGCAGTCCCTCTCTCTGTTAATCTGCAAAGTAGTGTTTATACTATTTACTTACTAAATCCTTGACAACATATTCAGGTATTGTTTGTAAAATGCTAAAGGAGTATTGAGATACTTGTTACCTGTTAACAGAGGGGAGAAGTACTCCTGAACATATGTAAAAACCAAACTTGAGCCAAATATTCATGCTCTTGAATATTAGAGACCAAGTCTCCTGAATGATATTGTCTTGACACTGTTGTCAGATCATGCCTGGCACCTCTGTCCCCACTTGAAGTTCCCACAAACGCCAGTTTTGGAAGCACGAGTGTCTTTCACTCCTGTTGAATGTAGTGGCGATTGAGCAGCCTGACACATGAAATGTTGGGACCAAAGGGAGCTTCAGCTGCTTGGCATCTTTCAGGCTTTGGTCCTTCAGTGTATGCTTGCTGCTGTAAGTCAGAAGACATTCAGCAACCAGGTCAGTGCACTGGCTCACACCTATAGGGAACCTTTCTCTTTCTTTCTAACCTCTTTCTCTCCTTCTGCTGATTATTTTTGCAATGGAATATATTGCTAAATGATGCCAAAAAGTATTTTTCTATATTTAAAATAAACAAAATAGCTTTTTGAGTAAAGGGGTCGCAGCATAAAAGTGATGAGCACACGGAGCTGTTACTGTGTAACTGAAGGACACTAGCCCGACATTCCCCCCCCACGCTGCCTCTTGGGCTCAGCACGCCAAGTGACAGCCAGTGCTAGTGACATCGCAACAGGGCCCAGCTCAGTTGCAGTTCAGGTACCTCGCTGTCTTGTGTGCCGGAGAGATCTGTCACCTCCGCTCTTGCACTTCTGCAGCACTTCAGTTCCAGCGTGCCCTCACCTGTAGTAGAGGCAGGGTAGTTGGGAAAAGGATACTAACCCTGTGCGAAAACACCGAGGGTGGAAAGGCAGCTCTCTGTGTACTTGTAGAGTATTAGGTAGTTGAAATAGCTGAAAGTTATTGGGTAGGAAGAGAGTTTGTGGTGTCATGGTCACATATGAAAACAGGGCAGGGGGGCAGAGAAAAAGTGTATGAGGGAACTGGCGCTCATCACGAGTAGCGTATGCAGCATGCGTGGAAAAGAACATATTTGTTTCTGTATTGGGAGGAAGGGAAATGTTGTGTGAATCAGGATGTTTACACAAGAGTAGTACCACAGCCCAGCCATCCACCTATGAACTCCTTTGGACAACTAAACCAAGAACGCAGCAGTAGTGAAGCCAAAGAGCGCTGCTTAGGAGTGCTTAAATGCAAACCTCAAAGGCTGGGATGCAACATTGTTTGCAAGCCCCCTCAGTCCGGGGATCCTACAGTGCTGCTGTTGTCTGCTCTGTTACATCATGAGACCTGCTCCGAGTTTGAGCTGGTGATACACTGGTAAAAGAAATCACAGCATCTGTTTTACCTGTTGCCCAGATTACTACTGCTGATAACAGCACTTACTGGACGCGTTAAGGGCGTCAGCATAGTACAGACTCCAGTACCACTGTTCCGGCATCTCTGGTTTGATGCTGGTGGTCCTCTGTAGCTGTAATGACTTCTCCGTTCAGATGCTTCGCGTGCAGGGGCATCTGTGTCAGAGCTGCAGCTGTTTGTCCCATGGCTGTATACTGCCTTATGCTTGGGGTGGTTTCTCTTTGAAAACCGTGTGACGTTGTCTGTCAACAGTGGAGAACGGAAACCTGGATCACTTACCAGATCAGCAGCGCCTGGGCACCGTAAGTGTTCGCATCATGGTTCACAAGTGGCCTTTGGCATCCAGTTCTGATTTGCAGCTGATTGTCATTCAGGAAGAAGTGACAGAAATTGATGGAAAACAGGTAAAAAAACCCAGCCCCAACACTCTGCTTGTTTTTAATCTAGGAGAGGCAAGTAGTTAACAAGGATTAAAAGGTTTACGTGTATCTTGGCTAGACTGGAGCACAAAGTACATAATCTAATGCTAGCTAGCACAGTACTGAGGGAGGTAATACCAACCTAAGTTGCCTGTGTAGTAGCAAGGGTGTTTCATGAGGAGACTTGAAGTTTTAATGCTTCTAGTCTTATTTTAATAATTAGCATTGGATGACTTTCCCTTAAGTTTGTTAGAATACTGTTAACTCTGTCACATGCTCTTTCAACACATGCATTTATGCAAGCAAGTCAGACTCACAAGCAATACTTCATTTACAAAATAAGGTACAAAATTCATAAAATGGGCATGGGCTCATTCTGAGGTTTTCCCCATTGTTTATTCCAAGCTAACAAAGCATTTTAAGCATGTAGCATGGGGAACAGCTTGCAGCAGCAAACTCTTATGGCAGGTGGTCTTGTTGTGAAAGCCCACAACACCTGAGAGCTTAGCCTTGGAATATTTTATATGTAAGATAATTAAGTAATTTGAATAAAAATCGTGATAATGAGCATGGATTTTGAGATGAACAGGAAAAAACCCACAAATTCTAACTGTATTTGCACAAATATCAGTGAATGTGAGGGGTTACAATTCTAGATGAGACTGAATTGTGCAGAATTGAGTTCTCAAAACCCCCTATAAGGTATACTTATTTTTCCAATCAGAGAAGTTCTGGAGAGAAGAAGCAGCTGCTGAAGTCAGCAGAAGTGTCAAATTTTTGTTTCAGTACATGTCTGCATCTTACATGTGGCCAGGCTCTTTTGAAGCTGGTTTATGTTCTGCTGCCTTTTTTCTTAAAGGAGAATGATGATAATACCATTGATCCTTAATTAATTGCATGCTCAGCATGTAGTATTTTTTACAGGGATCTGCATCATGTCAAGATTTTACTGTGTTAATGAAAAATCCCACTGGGAGGTTTGAAGCTTTTCTTCTGACGTGTTTATCCCACTGTTAGGAGGCTAATATGTCCTGGTTTGATTCAGTTGTTACCCAGTAGTGGTGTTGGATTTCAGATCTCAAACTAGACATCACAACACATTTCAGATTTTCACAGGGAGCTGGCAAGGGCAACGAGAAAGCTAATGCTGTTTCCTTAATTGGTCCTTTAAGTCAAAAGCTTTCAACCTTTCTCATTAGTTATCCGCTGACAGTAACGATCATCTGTTTCACTGCATTGTTCTGCGCATGTTTGAAGCAAAAGGAGACTGACTGATTGGCCTATGGCTCTGAAAGCATCAGTGAAACGATCACATGCTGCATTCCTCTTTTGTAGTTATATTTCTATGTAGCAGTTATAATTATGGTCACAAACACTCTGGATTTCGGTCAGTTCTTGGCCTCACAGTGCAGTCATTCATGTTAGTAGGGGTTATGCTGAAGGTGTTCTATATAAGCGATGCCTGCAGTGATTATTAGATGAAATGGGTCCAGCGCATCACTGGAGGAGGAGGAGGAAGAAAACTGTTCTTTCAGTTGTTGAAGAAAAGTAACATTATTGCAAAAGCGGCAGCCTCAGTCTTGCCTCAGCAACACTTTCAGTGTTCGCAAGTGCTCTTTCATTACCTACTGGAGTTTTCCATGCTCCAAAATGCTTCCCTGAAAGAGGATCGTAATGAGCCCATGGCATGACTGCCACATGCTTTTGCAGGGAGAGAGAGACCGAGTCTGTTCAGCATGTTTTCTATATGTCTGTATATATTTCTGTGTGTCTATATCTCTATAAGTGTGTAGAAGTGTGGTAAGTGAAAACAAAGAATAGTAGTTCATGTTATAACATCCCTAGATCTAAATCTTAATGGATTGGAGTTTTCTGTGATGTTGGGTTTCTCTGCCAGCCTACTTCACTCTTAAACTCACCAATATCAACACGTTTGCATCTCTTGTAGGTTCCGCA